CACACCACAGCTCCCTTGGGAGAGTGACGGGTCACTCTCATGTAACCCCGTTACAGTGAGAAAGGCGCGACAACTTGTGCGTAAACTTTAGTGATGAAGTAAAACATCACCAACGGGAGGTGGTCATAGTGATTCTTTGGGCCTCGACCGACAGAATTTGCCCTTTCAAAATATACGGTCGAGTCAGTCGCTGAGGAATAGGGTTGTGTCAGGCTCAATTTCTCGTTTGCATGGATGCGCACTTGAAGTCGATGTGATCTCCGTGAGGTGAGAGATGAACATGCCCGAATCGGGGAGAGTATTAACGATTTCAGACCTTAAAGGCTAATTTGCAACTGAATAAATATGGCTTTTACATCTACATGCAAAATACCCCAAGGACTCCTACATATTAGAAATGTAAAACCTTAGGCCTCTTTAAATTTAATTCATGTAATCAAGGATATACTGATTTAATTCTCAGCAAGAACAAGGTCTTGGGTGTACGGAGCTTGATCTCCTAAGAGCTTGAGCTTGGGCTTCCGTAGGTGGTTCCCGGCAGAAGTTACCGGCTAATCCATCCACAACAAAAGACAGAGACACGTCAATCTCGTCTCCAGTGTAAATCCTCAGGTGGGAGACAGCATTCTGTATCACACAGAATATATGTGCCTTCATCGAAGATGGAACACATGCATTTGAAGATACCTTACTGTGACCCATTGTTATTAATTCCCAAAATGCACGCGGAAGGTAGTCGATTTACCTTTATTGAATGACTCAGAGCAATCATTAAAATCATGTTCATATATGCCCGTCAAGCCTCTGAATTTGCATGTGCTTTTCAAATTTTGGCTCTCAGCCATAGCGTCGCGCGCTCGGGCTCATGACGCTCAAACTTTTCAAGATAAGATTTGCAGGTTTTAAAGGGAAAGCCGGGCTGATATTAGCTGTATACTGTATAAAAGTTTTTCTGTAACCAAGACAATGCCTCCCCCGCTGTAAAAGTTTAAGACAGACAATAGCCAAACTTTTCAAATAGAAGGGCGAAGTATGTGAAAGAATGTATTGCGTTATTTTGCGAATGAAATCTTGCTCTATTTCTCCGAGCAAGTACTTCATGGGTTATACCCATTACGCATTTTTTCTGATGATCTGACTGGCTAGGTATTCAAAATAATTTAATAGCTATCACCCTATCCAAAATACGCGAGATGCTCTTTCGAGAAGACCGGTTCTGATTTGAACCAATGGCTCTCGCAAGCCATGTTGGCAAAAATATGATTCGAGACACACCTTGCCGGTAAGGGTATCACTGTAGTAGCAATATAAGCCATCTTTGTTAGACGATTCGCAAATATCACAGCACCAATATTACCTGACGTGTCCTTTGGAAGACTGGAAGTATTGTCCATACTTGTAGTCAGCCTGCCACGTGCGAACAGATGTTCATACTAACCAATACATCTCAGATCACGACTAGCGCTTATCGAAAACTACGTCTTTATCTCCGTCTTTGCTTTTCGAAGACTATTCCTCGCCTGTATAAATATTAAGGTCTCTATAATAAGGCACTACAACAAGCTGAGTCTCATTTGGGTCAGTGTTGTGTCCAGCGAGGCATGAGGTAGGGGAAAAGTGCAAAAATACAAAAAAGGCTTTGATACGCAAAATCAGAGCTCAAGAAGGCCTTGCTTAAGAAACTTAACTTCTGACGCCAAGCTGTACGTATAACCTCAATATTGCGTGACATCACTAACCTGGCATGCACCAAATGGTCTGGGCGACGCAAAAACGCATCTTCCACCATGTGAAGCTGACGCAGATTCGTTCTTAACTTGCAGATATAATCAACAAAAGAATAACCATTTTTCTATTTAACTATTTTTGTGAAAAATGCAGCAACGGCATCGCTATGCAAAATGGTGCATGATCTTAAAGCCGAACCTGGAACTTGGTAAAACGAGACACGTTAATACGAGAAGCTACTTTGAAAAAGATCAAAAGATTTTTTTGCTGTCTTTGGTTATCGAAACTGGACGCAACGGTTCATTCATGACCATTGGTGTATATCTGGAGTAGATCACAATCGCTGTTTAGAGATAAAGCACCACAAGTATGAAATGCCAGATCTGGTCTCGGAAGGCCCAGCACAGAGCCGCACATTAGCGTTTTGTCCATAGCTTATATGACCGCCTCTTCTGTCTCAACCCAGCACCATTTTGCATTTTTAATGAAGATTGGTGAGGGGTCGTGCCATGCTCGCAAGTGTCCATTTTGAATCTTCACATCCAGTTCCGCTCTACATGGCTGTGAGTGAGGATGTCGCCGAAGTATATTTGTGCAAATGCATAATACAGTCTAAGCTCTGCATCACCCTACGATTAAGTGTCGCTGATGTTAATACAGTCGTTAAGGCACTCAAAGTGCATCCCACTAGAGTACTCATGGCAGTGAGAAGTTTTTCATTAGCACTAAATAATCTCCAAAATGTCTCAAAGCGATGAACACGCTGCAGTACACCATACTGTTCTGCTGCACGCCTTCGATGTGTAGTAAAATTTTGCGGAGGGAATGACTGCATTTTGCATAGTAAAACCATGTTTAATCCGCAACTTGCCCTCAGTCTTTTCTGCGCAAATTTGGTGTTTGGAGGAGAGTATAAATATATCTCATTAAACACGCTTAGTGCCTCAAAAGAAAGACAGCAACTAAGACATCACACCGTTTCCATAAGTCATCACAGTGTGACACAATATTTGGTCCCTGGGATTGTAAGTCTACCCGATGATATCACCGCGATCAAGGGAAGGCAGCACGTGGGGGTTTTCGGGAATTCCCACCGACAAAAAAAGAAGTGTAGAATTGATGACAGCCGTCCCAGCCCTCGCACGTAGTGTCATCAGTAACAGACGCATTCATGATGATAATCATCTCAGTTTTAAATGCTTTGCAGCTATCCACAAAAAATATCGTATCAATCAGAATGAGAATATTCGGATGGGGAAGTGATGGAGGTTCTGAAACTCTCACTTCTGGTCAAGATATTCATGGGTGAAATATCTTAACACAGTTTGATTTTGCTCCTTAATGTAGGCATGTTGTACGGCAGTGCTAACTCAGCTTTGCCCATATATATGTACCCTGCATGATTACGTCAGGGCCTGTCATTTACATGCAACTTCCAGTCGCTTGTCTCCACAGGCCGTCGTACGGAAAATCACCTTTCAGCTCAAGATAATGTCTAATTTGATACCGCTGTTGCTCACCCCTGTCTTGTCAGAGGCACACTTCGGGGGCTGCGCTTTACGACTGCAATTTTCTGAATTATCTGAAGTTCTCAGCTCTCTGCCGATTCTATTTAGACAGCTCTGGTATAGACACTCGTCAACGTCAGTGCTCATCAAATCGTACATTCTCATGTTCTCCAATCAGGCGATTGCAGCTTCATACCCGCGCCAAAAGCATGTCTACCTTCTATAATCAGATCTCACCAAAGCTCCATTAAGAGATAGGTGCGCGGTATTCGAAGATTTATACCCCAGTCAATCCTGCCATGGACCACGCTTTATTTACGTTGAATTTGTATCTGTAAACATGTTATGCGATCAAAAAAATTTCACGCTGTCAGAGTCTTTAATTTGTCGGGAAAATATAAAAGACCGCCCGTTATACCCTGGTCACAGCCTGTACAACTATTGTATCCGTAGTTGGCATATGTAACGCTCCTGCGTACTGTCTCGCACTTTTAATAGTCGTGCGTTGAACGATATTGTACGGCGCTCCTGGATCTATCCGAGCTTCCCACGTTTCACAAAGCCGACGTTAATGTAAACAACCAACAATGCTAACTTGCGAGCCTCATCTCATTGAAAGTAAAACTCTTTAAAGCTAGGTGATTAGGCACGACACCACGGGGTTTAATGAACTCTCGTTCTCTCTCAATCGACTTATTCTGGCCTACTTTGTCTAGTTTGGTTCGAGGGGCTCGTCGGACGACATTGAGTGGGATTCGACAATTTGCACCTCTTAGCTAACAGCAGGGATGCAAATATTTTGTACCACCACATATATAGCCCTAGCAAACTTTACGAAAATAGTCGGCCGCAGAAAGATTTATGTCTTCATCTTAGCATGACTTAATCCTTCGCCTCTGGCGCAATTGTAGACCTCCCACCTCCTGTTTACTTACCAGTCCCTGCGGAGAAAAATAGTTTTGCAAATTTACCCCGGTATGACCGATTTCTTCAAAATGTTGAATAAACGCGAAAAGTTTTGGTGGGAGCTGTATCTGCATGGACACCCTTTGTGACTATTTTATCCCTGCAGTTTTCAATAGAGGGTATATCACTATCTCAATTATGAAATCTTTTATCTCCTGGTTATGTCTTGCCATATCAGTCGTTTGACGTTAAGAAGACCTTTTTTCCCGAGATACCGCATGTTAGTCTCTGTTTTCGATCGCATCTTGAAACGTGGACATTGCTAGCGCTGTTGCTATGTCTTGCGTATTGCCAACTTCTCAGTCATTCCAGCTTCTCCTAGCCAAATAGATATCTTTCCCGTCCAGATGTGCAAGCAGGTGCGTGGTTTCCTGATCATTGTTACAGAAACTAGCTCAGTCTTGGTTGCATCGCAAGAACAATGGGCATAACGCTTTCTTTATACTTTTTATGCCTCGAGCAGTAGTCAAATCTTCAGAGGGAAACAGAACGTGATAGCAAGGCAGCATATAAAAAAAAAATTGTCCATCTTATAGTTGCAAATTGGGGCCTGTTTCTATATAATCGCCTCGAGCATTTCCGATGCTTCGAAAGTCTGCCGATTGTTTTTATCGACATCACCGCCCTCGGCGTGAAGAAAAATGGGTTGTTGTGTACGGAAGTTCCGGTACCGCCCCCATTTCGCTAGGAATTTCTCGCAATCAGCCTTCGTTTTCGCGGTATGTTTCGATTTTATTATCAGTGTTGAAGGCGGCAGCTTAATGGAGAGCCTTCGGCAAGCTTGAACGAAATCTTAAATTTGTGTCCTAATGCTGAGTGCTGTGGTTTTTCAATCCGTAGATCTTCTTCTTCAAGGAGACTTCTATGTTAATTGCACAAGATATAATTTCGTCTGCTTCAGCCAAAACTTGTATTGAATGGCTTTGTCATTAGCACCATACTCTCTCGCTAGGCTCCGCATGGAAGGCTTTTACCGGCTGGCAACTCCACCTTTTTAATAACTTCGAGGCGTTGGGCCTCGCTATGATGCTGCCCTTCCCCTCTTCTCTGCTTCTGAACGTCCCGAGGTTCTGCAGACATGTCTCCACTCTATAATGAAATCAAATTGTCGAAACGATAGACGAGGACTGCAATGCGCAAAGTCCGCAATCTTCGGCAGATTTCGTATTAAGTAGCAAGGATCAAGGTGTGGACTCAGCGAATACTGATTCACAAAATTTTGATCAGTCATCGCAATTTTTATAAAATCTAGACTTCAAGTTAATATCTTCGGGGAGAGTATGCCACTTGACCATATTGGTCATGAGCTGAAAATGGAAGAACAAATTCAAACTATAACTTAAGGGCCGGAAACACAACTAATCAATATTAAGTTAGCCAAATCCAGACTGGCACTGGCCAAATGGAGAAGCGAGTTGACGTTTATTTGACAATGATGTTATTTTCATGATCCGTCCAAGACTTGATCGAACCATCACTCTTCTCTTTCTTAATACGGACTGTTTGACGGGCCCGATGACTCGAGCAATTTTACCTGGCATTCGCGAAGGTAGCAAGTTGCCCATCGATCAGCAAATTTTTTTATTGAATGATTGCTTTGGATCTGAAAGTATGTAAATTGGTAGTGAATACATGCTCGTTTGGAATATTGGTGTCTTTGACGCATATTTATGAATAGATTTGCATTTTTAAGAAACTGAAGGCCAGGCTAATCACGTACTCGTGCGCTAGCTCCGTTAATTTCTCTAGAATTTATTGCTAGCCGCATATTGAATCAGACCGTCTAATTTATCTAGACTACGACCAATCGTGAAAATTATTGAATAGCATCAAAATAGCATCAGACTCTACATCAACTTCTACCTATATGAAGTATCCGCGCCGTAGATGAGAGTACACGGGCAGGGCATTTTTATTTTCCAGTGCCATTGAGCCGTCAGCGTGACAAAAAGGTTTCGAGACTTTCAGCCTTAATCCCATTTTAACGATCGACACGATTCCTTTAGCTCTGTCTGTTAGTCGGTCACGATGGTGTATCAAAGCGCCGTCTGTGCCTAACGTTATCTTTCTCGACGCTACAAGAAATCGAAGGCGAGATCTACCTTTTCTTAGCGCTTATGCGTGCATGTCGTTGCGTGTATTTATAATCGACAAGATAACACACATTTGCGTGGCCATACAGGATACATCTCCACTCGTGCTCCAACTTTGCCGTCGGACACAGCAAAGAAAAGTCAGCTTGTCTCGTTCTAAAATTGCGTCTCTTTTTCCCCTGCTGTCTTACTTCTCTAGAATAGTTTTTGTCTCAAATTAAAATTTGGATATTTTTTAACCAAATCTTCCCGGATGTCTGAATGTATTTCCTTCACGCTCGCCAATTTTCAGTAGAAACGGGTGGACGAGAAACTGGCAGTCTGTCCATATCAGTTTTGCTTGCACTCGTTACGGTCTGGTTGCTACTCAGCCCTACACGTCACATTCTTCAAGGATTACCCGGAGTATACAGAAGCAGTCGTGTGTTTTGTAGCACACCAAAAGTCTATCTGATCAGACGACTGATCATATATATCTCGTCGGCAGCCACGGGCATGCAATATAAAACAGCAACGTCACACAGTCGGACTCACTGTTCATCTTGTTCCTATCAAACTCTAGCGCGTGAAGTTGCAACATGTCATCGGAAAACCTCTAGCAGTTTCACAAGTGCAGCAACAATCTACCAGACTTGGCGAATGGAAACTTGAGAATAAAGTTGGGAGGAAAGTGAGGGCTCTGTTGGCAACTTACATCACAGGGGCTCCCAACAAGGCACGTTCAGTGGTAGCAAGAACGTCGTGAGACACTCTGGCTCTTATCTTTTACAGATAATTTAGAATCTTTCTCTTGTATCGAAAAGGGTGAACACATCAAGATCAAAAAATGCAACTAAAATACGATGTGTATGAAATGAAAAATCAATTAAAATATGATTTCTAAAAAAGGAGAAAAAAATTGTTCGGAAAATTTATTTCCTAATATTATAATTAATTTGACAGAGCTAATTTTTGCTTTAAATCAATCAAAGATTTGCTTTGGAGAGTTTTGTGTAAGACTCCTGTTACATAAATAAAACAGATCTCACAGATTCATTTTGACAGGTTCTAAAAACTTCTCTGAAAAACATTTGGTCGTCTTTTAATAATCGAGTATGGTTACCGCCTTGAACTCAGGTAGCGCTGCCCCAACTAAACCCTGGGAGAAAAACGAAACAATAGCCGCCGCGCATGCTAGTAAGACAAAATTATTTGTCATTTTTTCTCGGCACTTACTAATTATAAAGCTTGTTATTGATTACAGGCAGCGACTTCATGAATTCTGGTGCCGTCCCTTCGCAGTCCTCAGAGGTTTTAGAAAGCTCTACATCCTCTCATGCTTTGCCTCCTAGCGGTGTGGGGACGACGCAAGGTTTTGGACTAACTAATGGGGCATCTACGCTTGGCCCTGTGCCTCAATATGGTTCATCTGGGTTTGGAGCGACAGGTAATGGATATGGAGCAGCCGGTTATGGCACAGGGCCAGGCATAATGTACGGCTCAGGTTACGGTGGTATTGGAGGATATGGCGGTATGAATGCGTATGAAAGAGGCATAGGAGGCTATGGTGATAGCTTTGGAGGCTTTGGCTACAGAGGGTACGGCGGCATGTCAAGAATGGGCGCTAGCGGCTTGATGGACCCAAACAACTGTAACCTGGGCTGGCTTAATAGCATACATCAGATTGTAAGCTCAGTTGGTCAAATCACGGAGCTTCTTGGCATGAATGCCGAGGCGTTAAATTTTTGCATTGGTATGTTATGATTGGTATGTCATGATTGATAGGTACGCATATAGACGCTAATATAAATATGTGTGTATTCTTCCAGGGAGTTCTGTGCACTTTCTTGAACGATTAGGGGCCATGTGCGCTAATGTTACCTCTATGCTAGCGCCTCGACCCGTATTTCCACCTGGCCATCCACGACACGGCGAGTGTCCAGTGGCTACTGACGAAGAGATGAGTCGACGACGGCGTGTACGTATATTTAAATTTATGTTAGTCATGGCGGTGCTTGCTGTATTATATAAGGGTCTAAGGCTGCTCGCGCGGCTGCGCACAAGGGCGGTGAATAAGATGCTAGTTACGCCGCCGGCTGTAGGTGATTTGGAAAGTATTTTTCAGCGAACAGTGGGCGTCAAACATTTTAATTAACAGCGAATTACCAGCCGTGAATTCGCAGCTTAACATGTACTTGTCTATCCGCCGCTGATCGGCGGAATCAGTGCAACTTCGTCTCCGTCCTGCACCACCGCGTCGTCTTCTGAATATTCTAAGTTAAGGGCCAGCGTGATGCTTTCAATGGTTAAAGTAGCATGTGGGTACTTTTTGATAAGTATTTGCCGAAGCGATGCGAGCGTCATGTCGTTAATATTCGGCAACCTTAGCTTTTCCTCTCGCAGACCAATCTCCTCGCGCGCTGACGCAAAGTACAACAAAGTGATCTCCATCTTCGATGTTAAGTACTATCGTAAATGCCAAATGTCGCGCAAATTAAAGAATACAAATCGCTACAAGTGGTTTATTATTTTTACTATAACGCATAGGCCTACCAAGATATTCGAATCCCAAATTGACGGTTAACGTGAGCCTTATCTGCAGCGGGTTGCCGTACACTTCACTTTGCACAGAAGAAGATTCGGCTCGCGCGAAGTTTGGGGTGTTTGATCCACCCAGCAGCGAAATTGAGAGCATTAGAGATAGCTACATACCTGTAAGTTCAAGAGGTACATATATTTAGGATTATTTCCACTTATCCAAAACCATAAATTTCATCCGATAGTAAATTGTGCTTCATCGTCTTAATCTGTAGCGATACTTTATTTTCGAAATTACACAGACGTGTAATGTGACTTTCTTGCGGTCGTGCAGTAATGGACTCTATAATAGTGTAAGTGCAGAACTGTTTATAGACATATATAAAGTCTATACTTCTCCAAAAAAATGAGGACCACACTGGGTCTCGCACTTCTTTTATCGTTGTGTAACTCTGCGCAAAATTGAGCGCATAACGAACATCCAAATTCTCCCCACTCTCTGCATGCCTGCTCCTATGAGCATCATAGAATCGGGGTACTCTCCTTGCAACACTATCACATGGCTCTGCGAGCCCCCTCGATAAGTGTGGTCCTTACGACGGACGCCTCCAAGGTATACTCGGTGAGAAGGCCAAGATTTTTCTTGTTGAGAACGGTCGCAGCGACTCTGTAATTTCTGACGCAACACCTCCTTCCGCACCTGGAGACATACAGCTAAGCTGTTCACCGGCGCCCACTACGATTCGCCATCTTTCTCAATGAATAAAAATCTCCGTGTCCACTGGTGTTTTTGCAACATCCTACCTTGGAGCTCAGAACAATATCCAGCTCGTCGCTAACGAGCTGGAACTAGGAAACCCAAGCTCGCAACCACTCCTGCGTGTTACGGGTCAAATACAGTACTTTACATTTGCACGTTTTTTCACGTTGCACTTTGGTGTTATTGTGAATACTTACAAGAACCAACTAATCAGAATCCACGTAGTTGATAAACTCTTGACAATGAGGTATCACTGGTACACGTGGGCTACCAGGCGTGCAAATCTGGACATTTATTATGATACAAACCTATATATACAAATTTGGATTAGACATCACCAATGCTAACACATAAAATCTTGAAATTGCATAGCGAATTTGACAACTCGCGCCGTAGGGGATCTAAGTTTTGCTCCCTGTAGATGCATACGAAAAGAACCCATGTACGTTTGATAGCAATACTTTTTGAGTCAAGCTTTCATTTGTGTATGATGTCCGCCAATCCGTTGCATTTGGTAGCCTTTGTGCTCTTTTCCTCGTCCAAGTCGTGAAAAGACTGTATTTGCGCGAGGATAAACATTAAAATGTTTGAGTTCCTGTTTCCGGTACGATTAGACCAGTTAAGCAAGCTTATGTCAATCGTCGGTCCGGATGGATTTGGGACCTGGCGACCCAGAGTCAGATACGGTAATCGTCGAAAGGCAATGTCTAGTTATTTTACCAAGCTAAAAACACACCTCTACCGATAGGCAAAAGCGCTTTGAAGCGGGCAAGAAGCTGCGGTAGCTTTCTGACAATCCATATAATAGCTCGCATTTGGTCGCAATGATATTGCCAGGTGCCTTGAGCAAAGCATAAAGTAGGAAGTGATGGCAAGCCTCAGCCTCAGAATAAGTTAGATTGTAAATTGCGGCCTCCAGTCTTTTTATTGAACAGGAAGGAAACCTGGATAATTAGGTCCCCAGACAAGTGTTGTTGGGTTCGCAAGCGCGGTAAGGTGTTAAATAATTACAACGAGTGGAGAAAGACTTTCGGTGCAGTGAAGTGCTCGGGAGCGGTTACTTGTGCGCAGTGTGTAAAAGAACGAAAGTGTGTGAACGCCAGTGTGGTCCACATGTTAGTGAGGTATGATGCTACGACGTAACTGCTGTAATCTTATGAACTCGCACCTTGCACATTTTTCTGGATTTATTCGATACCTACTGATCAATTGTACAAAATTCCATTGCGCTTTGTATAATTGTGATGTTCATAGCTACCGATAGTCTGATAGCTATGAAGATGATGGACCTTCAAGAATGAGAGGATTGTATTACATGTGAGCTGATTGCTTTCAATTAATAAAGACAGTGGTATTGCACGAAAGTATAAAAAGTATACATTAAGTCGTAGTCTAAATAGCATTAGTTTTGATTATATTAATCGAAAATAGGATAATAAAACTTCAAACTACATTTTTGTAGTGTTGCGCCTCGTACTTTGCGCAGATAAAAGTTTTGACTTTAGAGTAACGGATATGGGTTGGGTTTCCTATCAGGGGCGGAGCCGATAGCCTCTTACATAACTAAACCTGATAATTCGCTCACATTATTCGGTGCTTACGTGCATGACGATTCTCGTGAGTATAGTGGATAGTATACCCGCCTGTCACGCGGTTGACCCGGTATCAATTTCCAGACAGGAACGTCCCTTCGTACAATTTGTTTTTTTCTCTGTTTTTTTCATGAATTCATGGCATACTTGATATATATTTATTCTATCTCACATAATAAAAATGTCATTTCTAACGTCCGGGCCCCTTCTTCTTGAGTTAGCGTAATCTTCATTAATACCAGCATTCCTATACTTATAAGCACTCACAGTTACATGTAAGCTAAATTCCGTACAATTGTACCGTATTTGAACTTAGTGCCGCCGAAATAAATGGATTTGATTCGCAAGGGTACGAAACTTGCCCAGCGACACACAATGTGAAGCACAATAGTGTTCACATATAATTGTATTTTCGAGACACCGCGCGAATGTTATAACTCCACAAGCAACCACTGCGCCTGAGATCTTACTTAGCTCTCTGATCTTTGTCGCGCAGCTATTCTGAACGTACATGCACCGAAAGTTCGCTCCCTGGTATCAAACGAACTTGCTCAACAAGCCCCGCTAAAAGCGCGGTCTTCGCGACCTCCGCGTTATGTATTCTTCATGTTAAGGTACTGAGATGATCCTCGACGAGAGCGGCTCAAGTACTTCCACGGCAACATCTCCCACCGATTGGAGAGGGCATGATGTCAAGACTTGTGGATCAAGGAGGCTGAGCGCAGTGAATGTTCCCTCCTATCAGAACAGCTAGGTAATACATCGCCGGGAGAAGACGAAGGGGCTCGATCGAAGCTCGTTGAATCCAGGACGATGCACTAATGTAAGAAACCTGGCTCAGGGAGCCCAGATTGTTTGCCTGCAAACACAAGAGCAACTGCGACTTTTGCCCATATCACGTCGTGAGAACGATTTTTGCAGCGTTCTTAATCGCTTGCCATGCTGTAAATTTCCTACTTGCCTTTTTGCGGGGGTTTTCCGCTTACATTCAGTGCGAAACAAGCGCGAGCTAGCACCTTTTCTTTTTTTCACACGTCATAAATCCCCAGGAGTATCGTTTGTGCCTGTAGCAGCAGCGGCTGAGAAAAATTATATTCTTCATGAGTGAAACGTTTATATATTGTATATGGTTTGGATAGAATTAATTTTATCATTATGTATTTCCTACAAAACTATCGGTTCTGCTCCTGTAAGAGCGCACAAGCCCAACCTATGTGCAAAGTGCACGTTTTGGCAACCAAAGGTCCAGAAGTGGTATCAGGTTGCCTGAAGGCGCTCGCCAGCTTTGACAATGCGCTGAAGAGGTACGCCCAGGAGCGCTCCATCCGGCTACCAGCGGAGGAATAGATGATTTCTATCGTGAGACTGCCAATGCTATTGTCAAGGCTTTTGAGGGCTGGGACGGAGAAAACCCTAGGGAAGCCGAAAGATCACGAATTTGGCTTTGCTCCAAGCGGGGACACAGCACATCGCGCTTGTAATTACTTAGCTAAGAGGGGCACGAGATATGGAACTCACATAAAAAACCTTTGTTAAGAAGGCGTTCGCCCAAGAATGATTTAAAGCGAGAGATATCTCTGTTGTTCGCACCGCCTTGTTGGGCGCATAAGATGCGCTCAAAACTTCTTTTCGCCTGTGTAGGAAAAGAGAAGTAGCGAACAATTTTCAGAAGTTAGTGATTCTTACGGCCGCAATTACGTCTGACCCTCTCCCGGAGGCGATAACGGTTACCATCTTCACGGAGGCTCTAAAACGGGTGTGGCTTACACCGAGACGCTTCGCGTTCACCCTGTCTCTTGGAGAAGCGGTGGGTGTCGCGAATATTTAAGAGGACCAGTTTTGTGTCGCAGGGGCAGGATGGGGTGCTGGGAAAGAGACAAGAGTGCGCTTGTTATTGTGGACCTCGCTGATATGGGATATATATATGTATCTTAGTGCCTTAGAAGCCTCGCGGTAATTGCAGATATTTCTTTTGTAGGTATACAAAGCATCTGCACCTTGCGTACTCCCTTTACCAGGATTACCAAGGATCTGGATAATATGAACGGACACAATGCGAAACATATCACGGGTAATCACTAAATCTCTACGCGTGAGAGGGCCCTCTGGAATAAGAGAAATTATGTGACATTATGTGGTTCGTGATTAATGGGACCTGCCTTTGAAAAATCAACTCTCTCGAAGAAAAGCGGAGCGCACAGCCCAAATTGTTAATCGTTGAATATAATGCCCCGGGACTTGTGAAGCCATGAAAAGTTTTAATAGATTCAGGAGCGGTGTGAAATTACAGCAATGCGAAGTTGTCATAACTAGGATCTTAGGGTTTAGGGTTGAGACAGTGACGATGAAGGTTACGGATGCGGTATCCATACGTCTTGCGAAAGGAACTGGTAAACGGTAGCAGAATCGGGTTTTAGCGCGGGTACAAAGCTACAATAGCTTCCGCGCAGGACATGAACAGTCCGAATTACTCAACTAGAACGGTGAATGCCTTAAGCAGAGCTTGGAAGACAAAGGTGGCAGTAGGTTATGGTCGTAGAGTGGGACAGAACGAACGATTGTAAATCGCGGTCTCCAGAGTGCGCCCCTATTGAAAAGGAAAAAGCAAGTGTATATGATGGACGACAGAGTGTATCACGAGTAAGGTGGTAAGACGCAAATATAAGCTGATGCCCCCTGCGCCAGGTTTGGTGAGGAATGGGTGTCATAGTATGTCAAAGCCGCTGGATTTTGAGAGTGACTGTACTTTGCGAGTGGGAGAGTCAGCTCTTTTTTACAAAGAATATTTCTGTCGCGATGTGACGG